AAACGACATCATTAAGAGTTAAAGGATCATTGGGAGAAGGTTCTTGATCACTTACCTCTTTTGATGTTTCACCATCCTCAATGGCCATGAGACACAAGTTGGCTACTTCCTCCGTTTCCAAGTCTTCACTCCCGGAGCCGTCGTTCTCCCAAGAAATGTAGGCACGTTGCTTCTTCGGTGCCCTCTTGTCCTTCTCGTTCTTGAGCTTCGGACACATTGGTTTAATGTGTCCAATTTCACCACACCCATAGCACTTGGGTGGAGTGTTCTTCTTGGCTCCCTTCTTGAGCATCATCTTCTTGAATTTTCTGATGAAGAGTCCGAGGTCGGTGTCGTTGTTGTCATCATCTTCATCATCAACGTTGTTGTGGGTTGATGTTGTTGCGGGTAGAGCAATAGACCTCTTGCTCCTCTATTCAACCACCTTTGAGAGTTGGGTGGTTTCATAGGTAATGAGATTACCTCGAAGAGCATCGTAGGTCGTTGTTTGGAAGTCACGACCTTCTTCAATTGCGTTTACCTTTGAACGCCATTTTGGGGATAAGCTTCGTAGCACCTTTCTCACGAGTTCTCGGTCGGTGTATGTCTTCCCGAGAAGATTGAGAGTATTAATGATGTTAGAGAACCTCTCAAACATTTCCTCAATCTTCTCATTTTCCTTCATTGAGAAGAGTTCGTACTCGTGAGTGAGGTGGTCGATTTTGGCCTCCTGAACCTCCACGGTTCCTTCGTAGGTGACCTCCAATTTTTCCCACATTTGTTTTGCGGTTTCACACCGCGAGATTTGTGGTAGTCATCCGCATTAACACCGCAATAAATCATATTTATTGCCTTTGCATTGAGCTCCATCTTTTTGCAATCTTCATCGGTGAACTCCTATTCGGTTTTGGGGACGTTGACCTCACCGACTTTCTTCATCGGGACTCTACAGCCGTTCTTCACAATCAACCACAACTTGTAGTTGTTGGATTGGATAAAGATTCTCATCCTCTCCTTCCAGTACGAGTAGTTTGTTCCATCGAACAAAGGTGGCCTTGTGGTTGATTATCCCTTGGTTACTCCTGCGTTGAACATCCTTGATGCCATTTGATCTTTTAGTTCCTGAAAAAAATAACATATTTGGAGAACTTCCTGCTCTGATACCAATTGTTAGACAAATGTGCAACTCTAGAGGGGGTGTGAATAGAGTTGTTTTCAAGAATGTGCGTTTTTCGCGTGTGTGAAATAAAAATTGCAGGAATAAATTAAAAGAGTAAGGGAAAGAAGAACACCGAGATTTATACTGGTTCACCACCTCGTGGCTAGTCCATTCCTCCAAGAGACTCTCTCGAAAGTCCTAATCTTCAAGCTTCAATGGGTGCTTGAAAAATCGGTACAACTTGAGAACTTGAATCACACAAGCCTCACTTTCTTGCAACACCAAGACTTGAGTCACACAAGTCTTAAGAACAACACTCAAACAAGATTGAGTTTACAACACAAGGATGAAAGCTCACACAATTGAGCAAGTAGTGTTTGAAAGATTAAAGCTCTATGGATGATAATATCTATAGCACTCAATGAAAATATTTCTAACTCCCAAAAATAATATTTGATGAGGAAGATGGAAGCAAGAAATGAATATAGCTCAATGAAGATATTAGAGTGCAAGAGTTGTGTTATGAAATGAAGGAGAATCAGGGATTAAATAGGCTAAGGATAAAAGAACCGTTGGAGCCACTAAAAGATACTGAGAATTGGCACCAGACAATATTAATCGATTAAGGTAAAGCCTTTAATCGATTAAAGGGTACAGAGGCGAAAAGGTCTTCTGCGCAGGGTGCAAATTAATCGATTAATTATTACAAAATATTCGATTAGATGGCGCTGTCTCAACTAATCGATTAAATGAAGAATAAAAAATCGATTAAACTAAAAGCCTGAGAAATACAACGATAAGGAGCTGGATCTAATCAATTAAATAGAAACTGTTAATCGATTAAATAGAGAATAATGCGCAAAAACACAAAGGGCCCAAGGCCAGTTGCGACTGAAAGGCATCGGCTTCATACTTGTTGTTTGAGACAACGGGAATAACAAGGACGCTCCTCAAATAATATCCTTTATTCAATGAATTTTGAATAGGGGAGAAAAAGTGAGTCCAAAAATTATTTTGTGTGTCAAACGATGTACACGAAAAATATTTAAAGTATATTTTTCTTACCACAAAAAATTTGTGTATCCTTAAAAAGTAGTTTAAGAAATTTTGACACACTATTTTGAAACTGACTCAATAAAATATTTTTAGACAGAGAAAAAATAATTTTTCAACTGACTCAGAAAATAATAATTTTTTATCCCTCAAAAATAATTTGTTTATGCAAAAATTTTTGTCATCCTTACAAAAATTCATAGACTAAATAAAAAAGAAAAAAGTCTTCGGAGTCTTCACCTCACTTCAAAAATCTGTGTAGGGGTAAGCGTTGATTCTTATCACCGTAAATATCTTGATACGCCTCTTTGCTTTTCGTGATACGAAAAATAAATTTTTGATCATTGTTTGAATTTAATCATCCTGTTTGTCATTCATCAAAACAAGAATATTTCAGAAAAATAATAAAGGGGTTTGAACTCATGTCCAACACAAAAGGTCTTGATGCCTGGACTCATTAGGTCTCGATAATGGGACATCCATGATGAAATTTGATAACTTTTGTACAATATATGAATATAATTTGTAAAAACAATTTCTACCACTACTATAAAAGAAAAATATCTAAATTTAATATAAACAATAACACGATTAGTAGGCCACTATGACAACATCTCATCAACAAACGAATTTCAAAATCTAGAAAATTGTAACATCTTTGAAATATAAAACTATTTTTCCAAAATTTCTTACTGTGTAGTTGTTAATTGTACCATTTATACTTTCTACAACTAGAGGAAACTTGTTCTTTCAATTGGGTTTGGATTATATAGAATTATAACTAAAAAATTTATTATATTCTGTGTATATTAGTAAACAATACGCCTTAAATAGATCGAAAAAAGTTAAAAATACACGACCCTTTAATTTAATTAAATTATAGGTACGAATATGACTACTAGTAATCAAAATTTTTTATGAGTTAAATCCCACTTAAGAAGATGATGGAGTTGGAACTTTATTTGGATTCGTTTGAAACTCGATCCATATACATGAGTCATGACTAGGGATAACCAGCAAGAAAGCATTATTGTTTCAAAAATGAGTTTATTGCACCATTATTCCCTGTGATTTGGTAAATATGCATGATTACCCTTTATAGTTTCAAAACTTATATCATTGCTGCTCATTATTCTGATATTGCTACGCCAATTCCCTATGGACAAAAGTATCCTTCAAATATTAAGTGAATAGCTCCGTTACCCCCTATAGTTTTAGAAATGTGAACCAATGCCACCTCTCCTTCTTTATTGTTATTCTTTTTCCTTTTATTTCTTTTCATAAATAGAAGAAAAATGTTTGTCTTTGAAACAATCAATGTTGTTTTTCAAAAGTCAAAACTATATCTCTAAAAAAGTTTTAGAAAATAAAAAATATTTTCTTTTGAAATAAAAATGAAATAAAAAATTTAGCATAAACTTCATTTGTCAATTAAAATAATTTAATTTTTTGTCTAAATTTTTTATTTTTATTTTTTTGAATATGTTGAGACCAAATCAATAGTCAGTAAGGTCTTTTTAATATATAATTAATTATATAATAATAATATTTTTTGGACCGATGCGCAAAAGTTTTTGTTCATGACTTAACTTTCCTTAATTTATAAAAGTATTTTTTCATATACTTTTCTTTATCTTTGTTTACTTCTCTATTCTTTTTTCTTCTATTTTAATTTTGATTAAAATAAAAGAAATAGTGTAAAATAAATTTTTTTAAAAATGAAAAAGGGGAAAAAAATAAAGAAATTATAAAATGAATAGTAAATGAGAATTGAGCTTTAGTATAAAAAGAGAATGTTTCATTGAATTTTGTATCATGAAAATGAATTACTAAACAGTTCTTTTGGACAAAAAATAAAAATTTTTAATTTAAGACAAATGAAGTCTACTTCAATTCTTTTTATCTAGTTGATTTTTTATTGCACACAATTTTTTTATTAAATCATTATTAAAAATAATTTTTAAAAATAAATAAAAAATATTTATGAAAAACATAGAAGAAAAAAGAAGAAAACAATAAAGAAACAAGGGGGAGGCGTTGGTACCCATTTCTTAAACCTTAAAAGGCAATGAAGCTATTCACTTAGGGGGTGTATTCAATTAAGATTTTATTAGATGTTTTTTTAGATTTCAAAAAGTTAGTAGATTTGATAAATTTGTAAAATCCATGTAGAGTTTGATTGATTTTTTGTAGAATCCATGTAGAATTTCAACAATTTAGAGAATACATAGAGACTCCAAACATTCTGTTCACTTGTGAAGGGACGGAAGAGATTATGGCCCAACTTTTTTCAAGCTTTCCACTGCCGATGAAGTTAATACTATGTATGTAAATTGTTTGGATTATAGTACCCCAATTTGTACCCCGCAGTTTTGCACCAACATTTTGTGTTGGTGTAAAACCAATTTTTATTAAACGCACCAACATTTGTGTCCGTGTGAATTTTTATTAACGCACCAACACTTGTGTCGGTGTAAACCATCGAAATGTTTGTGCAAACCTATGGTGTACAAATGTGGTATATTTGTTGGTGTAAGTGTAGCATGGTCCAAATTGTTTGAACCATGCTACAATTACACCAAAAAATGTACCCCACTTGTACACCACAGCTTTGCACAGACATTTTGATGATTTACACCGACATAAGTGTTGGTGCGTTAACAAAAATGTACACGGACACAAATGTTGGTGCGTTAACAAAATATTAGTTTTACACCAACACAAAATGTTGGTGCAAACCTGCGGGGTACAATTTGGGGTATAAATATTGGGGTACACATAGCTTAATCCAAATTGTTTGTTTTACCATCAAATTTGTTGAATTTTTTTAACAGGAGTGACGATAGTCGGCACACACTCCTCTCCCTGCAGGAGTGACATCAAATTAGTTGAATGTTTTAGAGCACTGGTAATGGGTTTGAAGACCCGGGGCTTCAAACTGGAGCTTCAAACCTTCATTTTTTACATTTTTAAATAAACATCTTCTAAAATTAAATTAATAAAATGTAATTAATTTATTATTTAATTAAATTGTTCAACGAATAATAAAAAATACATTAATTAAAAAAACGACAATATTTTTAAAAAATAGATACATTAATAAAAAAAACTAAGGTAAATTATATTTCTCCTTGATCTCTCTCATTCTTTGCTCATAAATCATTAGTCCAAACTCCGACAATGTCCCGGGGTCAGTTTGCATGACTTTCATCTCGGCCTCCTGCTCCTTTATCTTCAACTCCTTCTCCTTTAGCTTCAACCTCTCTTGTTCCTGGAGATTGAACGCCCGAAGTTGTTCAACCATTGCCCGACCGATTTCGTCGCGGGGAGAAGCGGAAACAGAGGCGGACCCTCCCGAACCAGAGGCAATGGATTTTGCCTTCTTTCTTCCGATCGGCCGTGGAATGGGGTCCTCGTCATCGGAATCCGCAACGTTGAAGGGAGGGATTTGATCGGTAGAACCGATGGTCTCGTCGACCTCAACCTCGGCGTCGACGGTGGATCTTTTTCAGAACGATCCGCAGTCGGGATTGTAGAGTTGTTGCCACTCAAGGGAACGACTCAAAATCCTCCAAAGATCGATGGACACCTTGCCTTGGTTCCCGTCGTCTTGATACCGGGTCGTGGCAAGCCGGAGAACATCGGCGTCGTTCGTCCCGCTCCTTCAGGACCGGGAGCATTCCTCGTAAACTCCGATAAACTTTCGGACTTTACGGTTGATGTGGCTCCATTTGGAAGTGAGTTGGTCCCGAGTTCGGTAGGAGCCATCCTTCTTCATCGCCATGAAGAACTTCTCCTCGATACGATCCCACATCGCATCCTTCGTTTGCTCCGTACCTTTAAAAATGTATTACACAATTTTTTTAGACACCATTAAATATAATATATAAAAATAAAAACATAAATATGTTAGAAAAAAGAAATTTTTTACCAATGATAGGATGCTCGGAGACGTCAACCCAAGCCGACGCCAATATGCACTCCTCCTCCAGCGTCCACTTTTGGATTGACCGTGCTGCCTCGGTCAACGTGCTTTTGGCTTTATGGCTTTTCTGGCGTGTACTTTTTTTCGATCCGGACGGTTCCGGTTGAGTCTCTGGAACCGATTCTCGGTCGACGTACCCCGACTGTTGCGTCTCGTAGATCGGCGGTCGATCGCCCCACTCTTGGAACAACCACATCGCGATGTCACTCGGCGGGAGATTGTCGGGAAAGTAGCCGGAGCCGGAAGGATTCATGTTGAATAGAGAGGGGGTAATTTCGAAATTTAAAATTTGGGAAGAAGAAGAGATTGAAGATGGAGAAGATGTGAGAGATTGGGAGGGGGATTTGAATTTATAAGATTTTTTTTTAAATGGGGTGCAACGGCTATAAAGCCATTAGGGAGGGGGAGGTGAATGGAATGACGCCGCGTCATTCCTTTGACGCAGGGCAATCACGCCCGATCACGCCCGGAGTGTTAGACGCCTTGCACACCTCTAGAGGGGGGGTGAATAGAGGTATTGCCCAAAAGACCAGTTTTTTTCGCGGAAACGTTCTTCACGAATATTCAATAAAATCAATGTACCACAAACAAAATAAAGTGAAGGATAAGAGCAATGCACACACGATATATACTGGTTCGGCCTAAATGCCTACATCCAGTCCCCGAAGCAATCGTGCCCAAGCCTTCACTAACTCGTCAAACTTAACGAGGTTTGACAATCCGAATACAACTCGAGAACTTGATTTCACAAGCCTCTTATTTTACCACCGAAGTTTTGATTTCACAAAACTTAGGATTTCTTCCACTTAACGTTTGATTTCACAAACCGTTAGGATTTCTACCACTTGGTGTAATCCCAACACCAAGAATACAAATCCCTTACAATAAAGTAAGAAAACAAACCGCAACCAAGTAATTCACCCAACACGGAGTAGATTGCTGCAAATACAATGAAGCCCTTTAGAATATGGCAATATCTCTCAAAGACTCAAGCAATGAGGAAAAACTCAAGCAAGAAATGATTTAACAATCAAAACAATTGCCTTGCTTGGATATAAGGAGGGGATTGAGTAGAATCTCTTTGGATATTCAAAGGATATATTTTTCAAAGTGTTCTAAGTGCTCTTATGAAGAAAATCACGAAAGTAGGAGGTTTATAGAAGTTAGGGAGTGGATAGGGATGAAAAGCATTCAAAAAACTAGCCGTTTGGTAGTTGAAACTGTCGAACTATTCGACTAAGTCAAGACTTAGTCGACTAGTTTTGGTGAAACTGCAATCTGACTTATTCAACTAGTTCTGGATTTATTCAACTAAGTCAGAATAGAATTTCAGGGATTTAGTCGAATAGTTTTCAATTTATTCGAATAGTTTGCTGAACCTTAGAGATGTCATACTCTTTAACACAAAATCTAAGACCTATAACACTACCCAACTAAGGAAACAACCTCTTTGGTCTCGTTCC